GCAGCCGAGCAAGCACAGCCCCAGCCAGGATTGCCCACCGAAGGAGCGAGGCGGGCAAGAACAGCGAACCACCCCGGTCGACAGCCGAGGGACCAACCGGCCCGAGCGAGGCGGCCAACCGCCGCTCGCCCGGCCAAGCGGGGAGAGCCGGGCGGGCGGGGCGGAGCGGGCGGGCGGGGTGAGACAAGGGCGTCGAAGTGCAGCTGCTGCTGTTCGAATCGTTCGGCGGGTTCGGAAAGGGGGTCCGTGAGATCCTCCGGAGAGCGGCGGACGTGCTACAGAACAAGCTGACGCGGGCCCAGTACCTCGATGAGGTGACTTGGACCACCAAGAGCTGGCTGGGGCTGCAGAAGCAGCGCATCTCAGTCGTTCTTCACACGGCCATCGCAGAGCAGGTCGTGAATGAGCTTGCCTGTGGCGGGGGTGGGCGGGTGCACGGAGCTAAGTGCCTCGCCACCCTCGCAGGAGTCGCTTAGGCGGCTCCCGTGGTGTACCTGTGTTCGTGCCAGTGCGCGCCAGTCCCGTGCCCAGTGTTGTGCGAGGGAGTTTTGTTGTAAGATTCTTTTTCAGCACGGAAGCGGGCATGGACACGGTCGCGGCCTTCTCTGACTCGGCGCAGGACGAGGAGCTGGTCGCGGCCTCCTTCGAAGCGGTGGCAGCGGCGGAGGTGCGGGCTACAGCCGAGCGAGATAGGGCTGCAGCGGACGCGCTCGCAGCACAACAGTTGGCGGTGGCGGTGGCTGCTGCTGTTGGGCGTTGGCAGCAGCCGCAGCCGCCGCCGCCGCCGCCGCCGCCGCCGCCGCCGCCGCCGCCGCCGCCGCAGGCGCAGCCGCAGCTGCAGCCGCAGCTGCAGCACGACGGCGGCGAGGCGCTGGCGGTGGAGATGGAGGTGGAGTGGGTCAGGGCTGAGCCGCTGCTGGGCGGAGAGGAGGGGGATGAGGCGGCGGATGATGTGGCGGTGGCGGTTGAGTGCGAGCTGCTCAGCTCCTCCTCCGAGCCGGAGGCGGAGGAGTGGACCTGCGGAGAAAGGCCGCGCAAGCGGACAAAGGTCCGGGGCAGGGCGCGGCGCGGCAGCCACGTCGCCGTTGCGTTCTCCGTCAGCAATGACGGGCGGGTGGGCGTGCGCTTGCGCGTGGGCCCGCCTCCGAGCCGCTCCGGGGCCGGCTCGGACGCGTGGCTGGCGAGGCGCGCCAAGGACCGGGCTCTCCTCCCTCCCGGTTGGACGGTGGAGGAGCGGCACGCGGCGGCGAGGTCATACCGCGTCTTCTTTGGACCAAACGGAGAGTACGCGGAGTCGCTTCCGCAGGCGTGGCGCGGTGGCCGCGCGAACCGCAAGGCCCGCCCCGCCGCCGCCGCCGCCACCACCTCTCGCCTCCCTGCCCGCGGCGGCGGCGGCGGCGGCGAGGATGGCCCGCGCGACCGTCTGCTCGAACGGCTGGACGATCTCACCCCGCCCCGAGGAGACGCCGCCCAGCAGCTCGCGCGGCCGCGCCGGCCAAGCGCAATCAAGCCGCGGTTCATGCGGCTGCTGGGCGCGGCGGTGGAGGCCGGTGGCGGGAGTCGTAATGGTGAGGACGCCGCGGCGGCGACTACTCACGTTGCCGCGGCGCCGGAGGCGGTGGGCAGCGAGGCGGTGGGCAGCGAGGCGGTGAGCAGCGAGATGGTGAGTAGCGAGGTGGAGGACGCGGACTAGAATTACTCACTGCGCACACTGCACTCTCCGCGCTCTCTGAGACGCTTTGCATCCCTGTTGCATCCTTTCCCCCAGTGCACGCCGTGGCCGTTGCGACCGTGACGCGCAAGACCCATGACAGCTCAGTCGCCTTTGATCGGACACATAGAGCATGCCCGGAGCTCGGATAGTGAGAGGTGAGCTCTTGTTATCCGGTGCCGCGAGCATGTCCGCGACGCGCGAGCGCGGAGTGGCCCCCCCGCGGGGCCGCGCACTTTTATGTGTTGCTTCACACTACGCGCGGCTGCTTAACCCTTAACCCCATCACGTCATCTTTTTCTATTTTAATTGTAATATTGATGTGAACACACCATCACCAGCCCGTGCACGCACAGTGGGCCAGGCCTCTGCCGTGCCACGGTCGCGCACTGCAGCACCTCCCCCTGTCCACGGGCGCAGTCCGAAACTCAGCGAGAGTGAGCGGAAGCTCACACAGCAGCCACGCGCAGCGCGCAGCGGGCACTCACAGAGGGCCGGGCAGCATGCTCTCAAGGTGGTTCTAACTAGCTACAGGGAGGAGGCAGGATCCTCCGCATCGACCATGAGCTCGGTTGCTCAGCTCGCTCGCCTCGTGCTGCCTCTAGACAACCCAGCCACGTTGGGTCGGCAAACGCCGCGCAAAGGAGCCACATGCGTCCCACGCGTCGGGGCGCCGACGCGGAGTAGAGGCAGCAGGCTAGCCCGCGGGCATAGCATTGCTCATCCAGGCCCGATGGATTCGCGAGTCCGGCGACACCAACGGTGATCGTGGACCAACGTGCGGTGAGTCGGGTGCGCACGAGAAGGACTCTGGCACGGTCTCAAGCGAGAGGATCTGAGAGACGTTGACGGCCTCGAGGCTCCCATCATCGTGGCGCAAGATAAGCACCAGGTCTGCCATATGTCGGTGGATAGGACGATTCGAGGTCAGCAAATTCGCGGGCGACATTACACCTGTGTCTTGGCGTTTCGCAAATTCGTTCCCTTCTGGAGATCGCCCGGATATCACTATCGCTATCACCGTGATCTCCCGCGGGATGCCCCGATTACTAATTCCGTTTCGCTCTCAAGTCGGCCCGAGAACACGTGTCCGGGACGTGTCGTGGAGGGAGGATCGGAGCAAGCACAAGGTCCAAGCAAGGAGGGGGGGGGGGGGGGGCGTCCAAATGCAGCCCTTGGAGTGCCCGCTGGAGTCCACAAATGCAGCCCTTGGCGGACGGAGTTGAAGATTCCTGAGAAACCGAACGCGGAAGGCTCGCGCGTCGCGTGTAGTGCAACAACATGACATGCACATGCACATGTCACATGTGCATGCACATGGGAAATTTTGGTGAGACGTCTCTGTCTCACGGGTGTTTCGTCCCTGTCTCACTTGCATGACTTTTTCCGTCTCTCTGCGTCTCTCCAAGCGTCTCTCTGCTGTCACAGTGCTGAGTGTCAGTGTCGCCGGTGCGTCTCAGATGCGTCTCAGATGCGTCTCACATTCGTCTCTTTCGGCCGCGTATCACTCAGTCTCACGGCTGGGCTGAGACGTCACAATTCCTGAGCGAAGTGAGTCGTCTCACTTCCGTCTGAGACAGTGCTGAGCCACAATGAGACGTGGCGCAGGGCGGGGTTTGCGACAAGCCGCTGCTTGACTGAGTCGTCTCAGGTCCGTAGAGACCATGCTGAGCCAACCTGAGACGTAATTGTGAGACAGTGGCGATTGGGGAGACTCAACTCAGGCTGTGTCTGAGGTGCGGCCTGGCGGGTCTCGGTGAGTGTAGACGAACCCCAAGCATAATCGCGCTCTCTGGCTCAAACGGCGCGTAGCCGCCGGTTGCTCTATCGCGCTCTCAGACGCAAACGGCGGGCGTAGCCGGTTGCGCTCGTGGGCAGGGTGGTTCGGGTTAGTGCCCAGCACTACGCTCTCGCCCTCTGTTCGTCGCGGCTACGCCCTCGGCTTGATGAGTACTTTGCACCGACCGCTCCGAGGTGAGGCGTGTCGGACGATCCCAACTAATCGCGCTCATATCGCGCTCCCTGGCCCAAACGGCGCGTAGCCGGTTGCTCTCGTGGGCAGGGCGGTTTGGGCTAGTGCCCAGCACTACGCTCTCGCCCTCTGTTCGTCGCGGCTACGCCCTCGGCTTGATGAGTACTTTGCACCGACCGCTCCGAGGTGAGGCGTGTCGGACGATCCCAACTAATCGCGCTCATATCGCGCTCCCTGGCCCAAACGGCGCGTAGCCGGTTGCTCTCGTGGGCAGGGCGGTTTGGGCTAGTGCCCAGCACTACGCTCTCGCCCTCTGTTCGTCGCGTTCTTCACGCCGCCGCCCACGCCACCGCCCACGCGCCGGCGGCGGCGGCGCCGTCATCCACGCCGCCGCCCGCGCCGTTGCCCCTGCCGCCGCCCCCGCCGCCGCCCCCGCCGCCGCCGCCGCCACTGCCGCCCTCGCCGCCCTCGCCCACCCCATTGCGCCACGCTGCTTCCCTCGCCACGTCGTTGCCCACGCCGCCGCCCCCTCAGCCCTTACAGCCGTCGCCGGGCGTTACCCACGCCGCCGCCCCACTCACCGCCACCGCCCTTGCCGCTGCCACACCTGGCCCACATACCGCCGGCGCCCTTGATTAGGCACCGCCGCCACCCTCGCCACCGTTGCCCACAACCGGTCCCACGCCGCCGCCCACGCGCCACGCCGCCGCCGACACCGCCGCCGGCGCCGCCTGTGCCAACGCCACCGCTGCCCTCCCCACACGAGCACCCACCTCGCCGGCTCGCCGCCACCCATGCTGTCGCCGCCCTCACCCCTCTGCCGACCGCGCTACAACTGGCTAGCAAAGACGACGCAGCCTATATAGTCTCGACTCTCCCGCCAATGTCTCACGATTGCGTCTCAGGTTGGCTCATGGCATGGTAAGATGGTATCTGACAACGGCAGCGGCTTGTGGCGTCTCACACCCTTTCTGCGCCGTGTCTCATCACGCCGTGGCTCAGCACAGTCTCAGAAGCAAGTGAGACGAGTCGCGCTCCTTGGCGCAGCAACTATGGCGTTGTGAGACCGAGTGAGACGAGGATTGCCGCTTGTTCACCGTGAGACGAGTGTGAGACACCAGTGAGACGTAGTAGAGACGACAGTGTCACACAGCAGGGGTGAACATTTGTCTCACTGGTGTCTCAAACACGTCTCTGAAGGTGACTGTGCCGTGTGTGTGACATCCTTGAGACAAAGTGAGACTGTTGCTGTGACCAGGCTGAGACAACGCGCAGAGATCGGTGAGAGTCCGTGAGACATCACTGAGACGCATTTGTGGCACAGCGTTGAGACAGGGACGAAACACCCGTGAGACAGAGACGTCTCACCTGTTCGCCCCAACATGTGTATCTGCAATCGTCTTAGTGACTAGTATCACGTATAAGATCTGCGCGCTCCTCTCCTGCGAGCACTGCGCAAAGCTGCGACAACAGGGGAGGCGCCTGAGCTTGAGCGTTGAGCAGTGGGACTGGGGCAGTGCACTCCCTCTCTTCTGCATGGACACGCCACGACACAATGACGTGTGAGTTGTTAGACGTTGTTTAGGTATTGAAAATCTCGCCACGACACTGCCGGATTCGAACATGGCATTACGACCCGACGCTTTCCCACACACCCCGCCGCACACCGCGCGGGCTGATCGACTCCAACAAGCTCCTCATTGTGCAGCTGAGCCACTAAACGGCCCGCCGTGCAGAGGCCAGAGCCCCCCGATACCTCACTGCCCCGGCTCCCACGCCTCGATCTTCTTGGGCAGCAGCTGGTCCGACAGGTCCTCCCCGTGGCCAAGGCAGCCGCTTTCACCCTTGCCCCACGTAAACACGGCACCGTCGGCGGTGCTGGCGAGGCTGTGCCCGCCTCCAGCCGACAGGGTGAAGACGCGCGGCCCAGCAAAGGCCTCGACCTTCTTGGGCAGCAGCTGCAGCTGCTGGTCGCCGTGGCCAAGCTCGCCCCAGTCTCCACGGCCCCAGCTCCAGACGGCGCCGTCGGGGGTGAGGGCGAGGCTGTGGAAGCCTCCAGCCGACACAGCGACGACGCGCGGCCCAACAAAGGCCTCGATCTTCTTGGGCAGCAGCTGGGTCTGCCGGTCGCCGTGGCCCAACTCGCCAAAGCCTCCACAGCCCCAGCTCCAGACAGCGCCGTCGGCGGTGAGGGCGAGGCTGTGATCGCCTCCTCCCGACACGGCGACGACGCGCTGGTCAGCGAAGGCCTCGACCTTCTTTGGCTGCCAATGGCTCTGGTTGTCGCCGTGGCCCAGCTTGCCTCGCCATCCATAGCCCCAGCTCCAGACAGCTCCATTGGCGGTGAGGGCGAGGCTGTGGCGGGTTGCAGCCGACACAGCAACGACGCGCCGCCCAACAAAGGCCTCGACTTTCTTCGGCAGCAGCCGGTTCTGCTCGTCGCCGTGGCCCAGCCGGCCTGAGGCTCCAAAGCCCCAGCTCCAGACGCTGCCGTCGGCGGTGAGGGCGAGGCTGTGGTACTCTCCAGCGGATACAGCGACGACGCGCTGGCCAGCAAAGGCATCGATCTTCTTTGGCAGCAGCTGCAGCTGCTGGTCGCCGTAGCCCAACTGGCCCAAGGCTCCAAAGCCCCAGCTCCAGACCGCGCCGCCGGCGGTGAGGGCGAGGCTGTGCGCGCCTCTAGCCGACACGCTCACAGCGCGCTCGCCGCCCAGCGGGGAGGGGAGGCGGGTCGGCGTGTTGAGCCGCGTGACGCCCTCGCCGTGGCCGAGGAGCCCTGGCGTCAAGTGCTTGGCATCTCCGCACGACGACAGCCGCCCCTCGCCGTCGATGAAGACGCTGTGCTGCCAGCCTGCGGCCGCCCTCACCGGCGGGTTGGCCTCGCACAGCAGCGCAGCGAAGCACAGCCACCGCACGGCGCAGCCCTCGCCCTCTGGCTGCGCCGGCAGCTCGAAGCCGCGCTCTTGCGCCCACAAGCGGATGGCCTCCAGCGCAAGCGAGGCGTGGAAGAGCAGCGAGACGGCCGCGACGCGAGCGATGTCGGCGGGGTCGCAGCGAGAGAGGGCGCGCACGAGGAGCTCCGTGGGGAGGTCGAGCAGGCGGGCGGATGGCGGCGTGCTGGGCGAGGGAGCGGCGGCGGCGGCGGCGAGGCGGCTCGAGGGGGCAGACATCGCGAAAAAAAGCAACACGAGCGCACCCCCGGCTGCACTCCAAGTGCTCCCGGGGCTAGGGCTCTCTTGCCCGCAACCCGATACCGATCATCCGGCCCGCTGAATGCGCTTCTCAGCTCCCCGGCCCTGGATGTGAGGTTAATGACTGCACTCCAAGTAAGGTAAGGTAAGGTAAATTTCTCCACACACACAAGGTGGTGGGGCAAGGGGGGGCGACCCTCGCATCTCCACACCAAGTGCTCCAAGTGCACCCGGTACGACGGCAACTGCATGTGCGTGGACGCTGGCGAGGACTACGGCTTTCGAGCAGCTCCGGGGTCGTCTCCTGCGTCCTGGTCCGCGTGGGAGCGCGATTTCATTCACGAATACTCTGACGTAACGACGTGGGTGAGTGGACATGTGTATTTGCCCAGGGGGGGTGGGGGGGGGGCGCACAGCCACAGGGGCACACACCCAGTCTGCATCCTCTCACCTCGCTGCACACACGTGTGAAAGGTGAACGACCCGTGGACAGCATGAAAAGTTGTAGAGGGGGGGCTCTCAAGAGCGTAGCAGGCCGATAACTCGCCGCGCACCCAGCCTGGCCGGGCGCCTCTCCCTGCACTAACCCCTCCCTCGGGGCACCTCCGCTCTACGCCTGCGCCAGAGCCTCGGCGAGCAGCGACCGCGACGCCTTGACCTCCGAGACGAGCTTGCTGATCGCTTGCGCCTGCGGCGGTGGCGGAGGGACAGGGTCGGGAACGCGCCCGCTCTCCTCCGGTGGCTTTGCCCTCCGTACAAGGCAATGACTCGTGTGGGGGCGAGGGGGGGGAGAGACGGATCGCCGCGTGCGCGCCTGCCGGCCGAGCTCGCCCGACGCGCCGGCGAGGCTCGCGCCGCCAGGCGCGGGGGCGGCGAGGGGCGGCGCGGCTTTGCCGGCGGCGGCCACCGCCCGCAGCTGCGGGCGGAGGGCGGCGACGCGCTGCTGCAACCTGCCGAGCGCGGCGTGCTGCGCTCGCTCGGCCGGCGCGAGAGGCACCTGCGGCCACAGGCCATATGGGAGATATAGGGAGATATAGGGAGATATGGGGAGATATGGGGAGATATGGCGCGAGAGGCACCTGCGGCCACAGGCCATATGGGAGATATAGGGAGATATAGGGAGACATGGGGAGATATGGGGAGATATGGCGCGAGAGGCACCTGCGGCCACAGGCCATATGGGAGATATAGGGAGATATGGGGAGACATGGGGAGATATGGGGAGAGATGGCGCGAGAGGCACCTGCGGCCACAGGCCATATGGGAGATATAGGGAGATATGGGGAGACATGGGGAGATATGGGGAGATATGGCGCGAGAGGCACCTGCGGCCACAGGCCATATGGGAGATATAGGGAGATATGGGGAGACATGGGGAGATATGGGGAGATATGGCGCGAGAGGCACCTGCGGCCACAGGCCATATGGGAGATATAGGGAGATATGGGGAGATATGGGGAGATATGGGGAGATATGGCGCGAGAGGCACCTGCGGCCACAGGCCATATGGGAGATATAGGGAGATATAGGAGATATGGGGAGATATAGGGAGATATGGGGAGATATGGGAGAGATGGCGCGAGAGGCACCTGCGGCCACAGGCCATATGGGAGATATGGGGAGATATGGGGAGATATGGGGAGATGTGGCGCGAGAGGCACCTGCGGCCACAGGCCATATGGGAGATATGGGGAGATATGGGGAGATATGGGGAGATGTGGCGCGAGAGGCACCTGCGGCCACAGGCCCGGCGAGCGTAGCAGGTTGCGCAGCAGCGCCGCACGCGCCTCGAGGTTGGACTGCAGTGCCGCGGCGTACAGCGCCTTTTGCGTCGCAGCCTCGAGCGCCTCGCGCACCGCCGCCAGCCCACCAGCCTCCTTGTGCGAGGAGCTTGCTGCGGCGCTGGCCGCGGCGGCCGAGGGCGGCAATGCGGCGAGGTGCTGCGCGCGCGCCTCGACCTCCGCCGCGAG